TAACACATCATAAGAATAATAATTAGAATGATCATACTATAACACATACACATACATACTACAATAACAAATAATAATAATCTATAGTCATTACACTATCATCAAATCAAGTTAATCAAACTAAGGAACACAATCCCACCTTTCATTATCTTCACGCTAAGATGTAACTTTCATGAGTCTTCTTAATACAATACTGTTCCAGATTTACTGTAATGCCTGTTATAACCAAGATAACACATTCTTTCAATACAAAACTCGAGCGTAGCTAGCATGACCTTTGGCCTCAATACTTTCACTAGTTACAACTATCTGTTAATCTTTACTACTATAAAATGTACTGTACCATCACTGTATATGACATACATTGCATAATATTTCATATGACAATCCTTAGTGGACCTATGGTACAATCTATTACTCTGTACCATATTTATCTTAAACAGCTTTGAATCTAGGCTTAGTTCAATGAACTCTCAACTATCTCTCAACTTAGAAAAGGCCTAACTTAAATATGAACAAGTGCATATCATAAAATATAATACAATAACATTCTATAAATGATGTGCTAGTTCTTGACAAATTAAATATCAATATAACAAACCTAATAAAACATACCTTGCCTTGCATAAGCTAGACAATACTTTACTTTCTTGACAACTAATTTTGCATGTCTTGACTCTGTGGTTTCTGACTTTGTTGTGCCACAAACTTTCTTAATTGGACGCGCTAATCCTATTTACAATAACCCACGAAATGAGCCTCCGCACAATAGAAATCCTTTACACTCTTATTCTGATAGTATAACGTTAGTTTACATTCCTTACTAACAAGTTAATTGTTGAAATATATATAACTGTCATGGATTTCTATCAAAAATACATTCATATAATAAAAACTAGAATAAATAATGTGAACTCCTTATCCTTGCGTAGCAACACAGGGCTACTCACTCACTTAATCGAAGCGTCTACGGAAGTCGTTACGTAACATGATCAAGATAAACATGGTATTAATTATCAAGAAGTCAACATGAATGTGATGAACAAAGAAACCCAAGTTAAACAAAGGAACAACTGAAATCCAAATTGAAGTCATAAGGAAATGAATAAAAAAACACAGCATGTCTGACATTATGTAACTAAAAAATTAATTGAATGAGGTAACATGCAACCTATCTTCTTTGTGGTTGTTCTTTTTTATCAAAACTAAAACTAAATTTAAATAAATATATAAATAAACTAAATTTGATATTAATAAATAACAAAAATACAATGTAGTGGGCCAAAACAATTGTTTTGTTGTCCTTAACAAGGATTGTTAGTCAGCAGGTCAAAGTTTTTTTTTAAATCCTGAAATTGAATAATTGCATTTGGAACAGTGGTAAAATAGATACAGATATAGATATAGGTGCACAATGTATTACCACAATACAGGCCTTGAATTTGGGGATTTTATGGGCAAGGCCAAATGGCCTCCGGGAATGTAGGTAAGAATGGCCCTGGAAAAAATGGCCCCGGAAAAAATGGCCCTGGAAAAAATGGCCCCGGTAAAAATGGCCCCATAAGACAGGTAGGTAAAAATGGTCCCAATGAAAAATTCGGTAATAGAAATGATATATTTTTTTTTAAATCTTCAAATATTTAAATACTGTATAAGCAAGAATTGAATCAGGAAATAAAAAATGGCCCTCAGTTATAAAATTCAAGAAAAAAAAAATTTATAATAAATAAATAAATAAATGCTGTAAAATACCCTGTAGTGAAAATTTAATTAATAAATCAACATAAAGAATATACATATTTGAGAACTAAAATAAATTAGTTTTTAGCTCCTATGAATAGCTCTGGGAGCAGGTCTAAGTATTTTTTAAAATTATTAATAATATTAGATATTATTACAGTAGAACCTCGATTTTACGTACGGTACGGGACCAGAGGGCGTACGTAAATCGGGGGATTCGTAAAATAGAGGTTGGGTTAAATTTGTGGTAACCTTTGACCTAATACGTACGTAA